AATGGGGACGGCATAGGAAGAAGAAGAAGAATTTCTGGTGGAGCAGCCATGTTTATGTCTTACTGGAAAAACATGTAGGTGTGTTTACGAATTAAGCAAACAGTTTCTAAAATATTTAAAGAGGGAAAAGTTAAAATCTCGTGATTTTTGAAGTAGCTTCTAATATGTTGTTCTTCTGAGGCCAAACAAATACCAAATTGCTCTCTTTTGTAATTTAACTATATCATCAGATTGGCCAGCTGTACTAGAACTATAAAAAGGAATACTATGTCGAAGATAAGACTCGAACAAAGAAAAATATGTTATTTTGGAAGATGTGAATTGATTTACTTCGAAACAGGCCTTATTGCATAACAGGCTGGGGCTAATTTCTTACTTAAGAAATCGATATGAAGGAACCATTTAAGGTTGCTGTCTATAAAAATACTAAACAGTTTTACAGAATCAAATATACTGATTTGGCTGTTTTTAAGAAGCAAATGTTGAAGAGCTCCTTTATAGGATAATGCTACTGTTTTATCCACGTTAAAACATTAAATTATAGTCGGATCAGGTTTTTATTGTAAGAAGAACCAAGGTTATTAGAATTGTTCCAGGTGATCTTGGTATCATCAGTGAAAAGTACTTACTTAATAAATGGAAAAGATGGAAAGACTGGAAAATTGCAGAGGTCATGATGATACCAAAGCCAAAACCATATAACAATCCAGAAGGTATGGACGCGATCACATCGAAGAATAAACATGGCCTCACTAGTTATAGTTTCGTAAGTGTTCAACAAAGACAGCAGTCGAAGAATCAACCAGTTCTAGATTTTTGAAACAAGCAAAGTAAGAGATTATAAAACCACTGTAAACGTCAACAAAAAGATGCACTAATTTGATATCGGATTTGTTGGCCAAGGTTTGTTAGAATTTGTTTCAAATTCTACGAAAGACTGCTATGATGAAATATTTTCGAAGAATATTGTGGAAGAATTCTTTCGTAGTTATAGACAATGCCAGTTACCATTCAAGAATATGTCCAATATGACACTTGATAAGTATACCATTACCAAAAATGATTCAGACGAACTAATAAACAGTATCAAAATAAGTATACATTTGCCGCAAAGCACTTCGAAGTATTCTAAGACAATTAAAAATTTAAAACGTTCATTGTACATCGTCAATTCCAATTAAAAAAATTAAACTAATGCTTACCTTCTTTTCGAAAAGGTCGTGCAGCTTGAGCCGCTGGATCTTCGTAAGTTACTTTAATTTCTGGAAGATCTTCGTCACCAAAAACTTGGCTGCTTGCAATAATGCAAAAACAGAAAAATAGTACCGTAGCTTTCATTTTCTGTTCGATTTTAATAATTGTTTGTCTTGAATTTTTTCAACTATTATATGAGATCAGTGGACATACAGTTTTATACCAAAATGCAGACCTTGACCTGTTGTATCGATGATAAAAATAATTACACCAAATAAAAATTATTATTTTTATATAATCTTATTTATTATGTATTTAACGTATTTACATCACAGAATAGATAATTCAATTCACATTTATAGATTGTACAAGCTTGAGCTTTTTTATATATTCTATTGACTCTTCAGTTGAAATTAGGTTGTCTTTAGGGTTGTCTATGTATGTTCTGAATGGGCAGTTTTGTACTATCTATGTGAAGCGCCACAATCACAGTAAGTCGAGGTTTACCCCATCTTCAAGAGAATCACTAAAGTAGATTTTACATTATGTAATTTTCATGCTAGAGCTATGTAAGACAGATATTGCGCAACTGCGCATGCCCACGCAATATTTCTAAGCAATCATCACCAGTCCAGGGGCATAGCAATGCAATAAGAGAACTGATGCTTACCTATTTTTCCAAAAGGTCCTGCTGCTTGAGCCGCAGGATCTTCGTAAATTACTTTGATTCTATCTTCGTCTTTAACGACTGAAAGCTCATCTTCACCAACACTTGCCTGGACGCGATAATACAAATGCAGAAAAATAATACCGTAGTTTTCATATTTATTCTGTTCGATTTTTATTGTTTAAATTACTTTTAATAACTGTTATATGAAATCAGTACAGTGGAACCTTGACCTGTTCTATCGATGATAAAGTATATTTTAATCAAGGGTGAATTTTTTATTGCCTGGAAACATTCTTCAAAATGTTTAATAATAAGGTATAACAGTTAGTTTATTTTGTTACCGAAAATATAATAAATTTCCTTGTCTGTTTGGTATTATTAATTAGGTTTCCCAATTAAGAGTCTTCGATGGGTATTATTTCGAGAGATTGTCTCAAATCAACATTTATTACATTACCAAAAAAACCTAATGCAAGGGAATGTGATGACCACCGTATAATTAGTCTAATGAGTCACAGACTAAAAATATTCTTAAAAATTATCCATTTAAGAGTTTTCAGAAGTCAGAACAGGCAAAGAACTTTCGGAGGAAGTAGAGATAAAAAGAGGCGTAAGGCAAGGTTGCATACTCTCCCCTTTATTGTTCAATCTATATTCGGAAGAAATAATTAAAAATCACTCGAAAATGTAACAATTGGAATAACAGTCAACGGCAGACCCATCAACAATATCAGATATGCTATATCAATGATACTATACTAATTGCAGAGAATATACAAGATCTACAGACACTCTTAGATAATGTAGTAGATGCTAGTGAGGAATGCGGACTAACTCCTAATACCAAGAAAACAAAATTTATGACAATTTCCAAAACACAACAACAAGACATTTTAAACGTAAGAGGGGTTCCAATAGAAAAAGTAAAAAAATACAGATATCTTGGTACAATTATTAATGAAAATAACGAGTATACAGAAGAAATAAAAATGGGAATTGGACAAGCTAGAGCAACATTTAATAATATGAGAAAAGTATTATGCAATAGAGACTTTAGTTTGCAACTCAAAATAAGAATATTGCGTTCAAATGTGTTTTCGGTGCTGCTGTATGGGGTGGAGGCCTGGACCTTAAAGAAAGAGGTGAGCGATCGGTTTAAATTATTCTTGATGTGGACCTACCGAAGAATATTAAAAATAAGTTGGGTAGACCGAATAACAAATGTTGAGGTCCTCAGAAAGATGACAAAGGAAATGGAAATCATGAATACGATTAAGAAATAAAACTCAGTATAACTCATATTTTTTTCAAATTAATTTTTGATCAAATCTTCACTTTCTCTATCGCTCTTATTTTTCAAAATTGCTTTATACATTTTATGGATTTTGCCTTAAATTATCACTCAATTCAAGAAAAAAGAAACATTTCAGAACAATATTTATTGCATTTATAAAATCCAGTAGCTTTCTTTGTATAATGCATATCGATATACAATCAATTGGAACAAACTGGAGTTGCCGTTTTTACACAATCTTGTTCAGTTTTGAAGTTGTTTTTGGTCGCACGACAGCCTCCATAGTAATCGTGGACACATTTTTTCTCAGTGTCGCTCCATCTGAATACTGAGATCAGGGCATCACAGGTGGGTCCGTCGCTTTGTTCTACACCGAGAGCACAATCTGCAACAATGTTTAGATTTCAGCAAGTATTATGACTTTAAAACTTATTATTTTTGTTTCATAATTGGAAGTACAAAAAATTCTGCTTTTAATTTAATTTTAGCTGCTTCATGCACATTATTTTTGAGGTGCTTTCCTGGGACGACTTTATTGGAGGATAATTCATTTGACTACATGAAATCAACTTCCATTTGAGAATACTAGTGAGAAAAATGATAGCTTATGTTTGTTTAAAACTGAAAGAACCCCAATCATCACCTATTTAACTATTTTTAGTTGTAAGATACTTTGGCTAATATTTTTCTAACAATAGCACGTTATATGGTGAATAAGGATAGCATTCCACTAATTTATTCCTCAAATCTCCCAAATTTCTTATTGGAAAAAAGAGTATTGTCGAAGGAGTACATTGTCCAAAACATTTGTTTTCTGCAAACTAAGCTTTTGTCAAAAATTTCTAATTTATCTATGGGATAAACAAAATGTAACAAATACAAACTTAATTAGGTTTTTAACAAATTCTAAAATTGATAACAGTTACAAAAACAGATAAAACAAAGACCAAAACTAAGCAAGAACAAAAAATAATTGTGTTACTACGAAAATGATACAACAAAGCAACTGTGAAGATTTCTAGAGAAATTTAAGGCCCCAAATGTCATTTGTGATGTGTCAATGATAAATGAAGTTCATATAAATACCGACAAGTACTTACCTTCTTTTCGAAAAGGTCTTGCTGCTAGAGCTGCTGCATCTTCATGAGTTACTTTAATTTCTGGAAGACGACCATACACTTGGCTGCTCGCTAGAATGCAGAAGCAGAGAAATAGGACAGTAGTGTTTCATTTTCTTCTTCGTTTGTTACTAGTTTGTTGACAGGGAGGCTGTTACTGTTATATAATATGAGAAGCGAAATGGTTTTATATCAAAATGCAAGCCGTGACCTCTTGCATTGTTGATAACGCGAAATACGTAAAATTAAACAGAATGTTTTGATGAATATTTTTTTGCTATAATAATCTTTCAAAAATGTAATGATTTTGGTAACTATCGCACGCGAGATATTTTGGGTACATCTCCAAACGATTTTGGGTCTTTTTTAGTTTAATTTTAGTCTTCTTTTAATTGCGGTACAACCCTTTGTAAGTCTAGGTCTGCTTAACAATGTTCTTCCATTCTGCCTGTCGGATACTTTCCTTTGCCACTTCCTGATGTTCATGGTTTTAAGATCTCTCTACGTCGTCTATCCATTTTTACGGGGCCTTCCTCTTGTTCTGTTTTCTTGGGGCTTCCATCTCTGGACTATTTTTACAGCTCGATTATCTGGCATTCTTTACTCTGTGTTGTAAAAGGCAAAAAAAGAGTGCTACCCAGATGATGACAAAATAACTGTTACCAAAAGAAGGAATTATGATGATTGATATTTTTAAATTATCTGTTGAAGGAAAACAACAGAAACAACGATAAAAACATATTTATTAAGTATATAAAATCTAATAACTAAACATAACAAATTTTATGATAATTCTCTCGATAAAATCTGTTTTATATCGTAATTAACTGGAACAAATTGGAGTTGCTATCTTCTCACAGTCTGCTTTATGCCTGAAGTTGTTTTTGGTAGCGTGACAACCACCGTAGAAGTCATCTACACATTTTTTGGCGTCGTTGCTCCATCTGTATACTGGTATTAAGGCACGGCAGAGGGTTTCAGCGTCTTGCTCTACACCGAGAGCACAATCTGCAAAGAAAATGGTTTAATGTTTGTTTAACAACGCAATATTGATAAAAACTCATAAAAATCAAAATTATAACTTTATTTTTAGACGATGAATTTAGTATTTAACAGTCATTGTTAAAACCCAATCTTCAAGACCAATGGCATGAAATTTCGGTTTTGATTTTTGGCAACGCAAAATACAAGAGGGTTAAAATCAATAATAGACTACACAATCATACGACAAAAGACAAATATGATTGTACAAGATGTAAGAGTATTGAGATCAACTACCTGTGGAAACGATCATTACTTGTAGCATGATTTTTATAAGCAAAAAAGTGTAACATGATAAATTCACATCTAGGAGGACGAAGAAGCACAGAAAGTTAAAGAGTCTTAATTTTTACGACAAGATAAGAAAAGAGAAAACAATGGATGACTGGGACCAACATTTTGAGAAACTCCTAGAGAAAACATAAGAGAAAATTATGAACACAGAAATTGGCAATGGAATGAGGACAGATATCGAGAAAATCAGAACAGAAATAACACGCACATATCATGAAAACAGAAATAATAATCGACGAAATGAGCACGAATATCGAGGAAACTGATACGGAACTGACAGGCCAAAAGAAAATAGAAGAGAAGTGAATAATACCCAAATAGAAGAAGTTGAAGATAAGACACAAAGCGACGGGAGAAAAAGCACAGAGGAACAACAGGCTTTTTTTCACGAAGGCGCTCACTAAAAACAAACCAAACAGGAATCTTTTGTCACCCAAAGGAATTTATTAAATTAGCAGGAAATAATGAGAAAAGAAGTGGAGTTAATCTAAAATTTGTGGATGGTTTTATCAAAGACAAATCAATTAAAATTATCATAGGACACCAGTTCGGAAATAACATTGATAGACAGAAAATTGATAGAAGTTAATTTGACAAATTTAATTTACAAAATACCATTGGGTAAATTTGGTGGGCGCAAATAAACGGACATTGGCAACGATAAATGAGGCATACGAGTAATGGTACGATTGGACAAGAAAGTTTATGCATTACAATGTGTAATAATGCCAAAGAACAAGAACAGGGCATATTGGAAAAAGACAAGGAACATGAAAATCGGAAAAATGATGATTTAGACAAACAACAAACGGTGGAAAAAGAAGAAAAAGGAGAAAACATCAGCAAAAGATAAAAGAAGTCAATACCTGGGATTCCTCAAAAGAAGAGATGAGCCCAGAAAAAGAAGAAGAAATAATGAGAAAAATCGACAATTTTATAGCTAAAGTAGAAACACCAAGAAGGATTCTTCTAGACAATGCGACATACTTTAGGAATGATCGTTTCAAGGGACAACTTCGAGAACGAGGAATAGAGACAAATTTTGTCAGCATCAGACATCCTCAGAGTAATCCTTCGGAACGATTTATACAGGAAGTGACGAAATTTCTTCGAATTGCGACAGATGGCCAACATCGACGATGGGATTGGAAAGTGGCAGAAATAGAAACTTATTTAAATACCATCCCGAGTACAAAAACACAAAGAGACCCCAGAATAGATAATGGAGGGTATAATAAATTAATTACTATTTAACTGGGAATAAGCCACAATTAAAGATAAAAATACGTTTATTGACGTTTCAATTTCCACTTCGGAAATCGTTCTCCTATTTTTATTCTACGAGAACGATTTCCGAAGTGGAAATTGAAACGTCAATAAACGTATTTTTATCTTTAATTGTGGCTTATTCCCAGTTAAATGGTAATTAATTTAAAATGCCACAAGAAAATAGCTTCAGAAGGGTATAATGCCGACAAGGCTATGGGAAGATCCAGAGCCAAAAGAATATCAACAGATAATGGAAGCTGTACAGAAGAGGTTGCGGAGAGCAAATGAGAAATATGTCCAGAGACAAGATCATAATAGAAAACGAAGACCAATGACATTCCAAAGAGGTGAGAAGGTAATGGTGAGAGCATTGTGATTGTCAAACATTCCTGGTAACGTTTGCGCAAAGTTAATGCCTGTTTTCGAGAATCCTTACGTCATCGATAATGAAAATCGAATAAACAGCTATGTGCTGAAACACGTGGACTCGGAAAAGATCCGAGGAATCTACAATATCCACGATGTATACAAATATCACGAATAAAATACGGGAAAGCACAAAGTAGAAAATAAGTAAGGAAATCGGACATAGATTAAGAAGAACAAATATACAGGGAAAATGTTTTGCATCGAGAAAAATCCCTGCATAGTTTTAGTAATTTTTATCAGATGCAAAGGCGGGGATTTTGTCATACTGTTTTTTTCAGCCAAAGAAAAAAATAAAAATATGTAAATAGATTATTAATTACGCGAAAATTGCTTGGCAACAAACTGTCGTACCAGTCGATAATATTGCCGGCAAAATGTTCTCTCTTATATACGAAAATTCAAATTCCAAAATCTCACTGGTGTATTGTCAATGATAAATGAAGTTCAAGTGAATAAAAGACAATGCTTACCAGATTTTCTGAATGGTCTTGCTGCTAAAGTCGCTGGATCTTCCAAAGTTACTTTGACTTCTGGACTATCGATTTGTCCAAACACTTGGCTGCTTGCGATAATGCAGAAGCAGAGAAATACAGCAGTAGTTTTCATTTTTCTTCTTTGTTCGTTATTAGTTGTTTGTCTGAAATGATATTAACTATTATATGAGATCGATGGAGATGTAGTTTTATAGCAAAACGCAAACCTTGACCTGTTTCATCGATGATAAAATAAAATGTACTGCAGAACTTTGATATCTACAATATTTTTGAAAATGTAAATACTTACATAATATGTTAATCTGAAACTATGCATTGTATAGATGTAAAATGAACATTTATTACTTATTATTAGATTTTGGAAACATTAATATAAGTTTTATACATCTATCTGGACACACGCTATAAAGTTTATTACTAACATTAAAGCACTCTTAGGGATGTGATATATTTCTACCAGTAGGTGCAAAAATTTCCTTTTGATCCCAGTAACGTTTTATCTAATGCTTTAGCTAACTGAAGAACGAAGAAAACACAGGAATAAGAATGAGGAAAGGTACAAAGAAATAAATAAAATCATTAAGAAAATAAAATCCCTAGAACAGAATCATGACACTTTTAACCTACATAAAAAGATCAAAAACTTAACGGGAGAAAACAGATCACGAAGTCATAACTTAATACTAGACGAGCACAACAATCTGCTCTACGAAAATGAGAGACTACTTGAGCAATACATGGAAGAATTATTCAAGAAAGAGCAAGAGACAGAAATCAGTCTTTCTGGATGTTCAGGACCAGAAATAACGCTCAGTGAAGTAACATATGCAATAAAAAGACTAAAAACCAACAAAACATCTGGACCTAATAACATACAAGCTGAAATATTGAAACTATTTAAAAACAACCAACTCAAACTCCTAACGAGTCTACTGAACAAAATCTATGAAACTGCAGAATTTTCTACAGATTGGCTAGTTTCCACCTTCATCCCTCTCCTCAAAAACGAAAATGCCACCAGATGCTCTGATTACAGAAATATATGTTATTCAGACTGTTATTCAGTCTCCCATATGTAGAAAACTTGAAGAAAACATTAGCAGTGTTCAGTTTGGGTTTAGAAGCGGACTGGGAATGCGGGATTCCCTATTTTCCATAGAAGTATTGATACAAAGAGAACGAGAACGCTTCATCAAGTATACGACTACACGAAGACACAGAAAAATTCAGCTTAGGTCGAGGAGTTAGACAAGGAGACAATATTTCACCAAAATTGTTCACGGCAGCTCTAGAGTCAATATTTAAGAGCACTCAATGGCAAGATATGGGCATCAATATAGATGGAGAAAGATTAAACCGCCTAAGATTTGCAGATGATGTTGTATTAATCGCAGATAATTTACAAGATACAGTTTCTATGATGCATTCGCTTAGAAGTCTGTCTGAAAGAGCAGGATTAAAGACAAACTTTGAGAAAATTAAACTTATGACAAATCTCGTAATGAGTGGAAATATAACTATTGACAATAATAGCATAAAACAAACAGACACTTACAAATACCTGGGACACGAAATCAAAATAAGCAGAGACAATCAAACACATGAAATACAGAGGCGAACAGGCCTAACTTGGGCAGCATTTGGCAAATTAAGCCATATTCTAAAAAGCTCAATTCCAATGTGTCTCAAGCGAAAGGTTTATGACCAATGTGTTTTACCTGTACAAACTTATGGAGCGGAGACTTCACAATGCTGAACGTGAGCCTTCCAGACCACATAACAAACCAACAAATCAGGCAAAGATCAGGAGTTCAAGACGTCATCGAAAGAACCACGTCGCTTAAGTGGAACTGGGCAGGGCACTTAGCCAGAGCACAAGATGGACGGTGGACAAGACGTATTATGGAATGGAGGCCCAGAAACTATAAAAGAAGCCGAGGACGACCACCGACTAGATGGACTGATGATATAAAACGTGTAGCGGGAAACTGGCTACAAGCGGCCCAGTGTAGAGGACACTGGAAAGAACTGAGGGAGGCCTATGTCCAGCAGTGGACGCGATTGGCTGAATTGATACAAAGAGCTCGAGACGTAAATTAATAAGGTTGTTGTAATAGTTAGCCCTAGACTTCAGCACAGATCAGAGGTAATGTAAGTCAATAAAACCTCACCAACTACAGGGGTCATGTAAGATGCCCCCATTTTCAGTTTTTAGTAATCTGCAGTCTTAAATCAACAGTCTATTGCATTTACCTTCATAAACACCTTGAGGATAGTTTTTTTGACAACTTTTTATTAAAACTGGTGATGGAATGAGTTTATTCCGAAAAGATCTTCTTTAAAATAAAAGTTTTAAGCTTTTAATAAGCATTTTTTTATACCTTAATACACACGACCACCACGTGCTACGTAAATTGTAAAGTCTACGCATGCTCTATAGACTTTGACAAATCATTTGACAAGGTGCAACATCAAAAATTGTTACAGATACTGAAAGAATCTAGTATTGATGACAAAGATTTACGCCTAATTAAAAATTTATACCTACACCAAAGGGCAACTGTACGAGTAGACAACGAAACCTCACAAGAATTCACGATAAAACGGGGAGTACGTCAGGACTGCATGTTGTCACCGACATTGTTCAATACTTACTCGGAAAAGCTGTTCAGGGAAGATATTGATGGTTTAAGAGAAGGTATCAAAATCAATGGCGAAATAAAAAATTTAACTGTATGCGGATGATACTGTAAGAAGAAATTAAACTGTAAGAAGACTAAAATTCTTGTAAGTAAAAACGACGTAATACAACACCAATTCACAGCTAATAATGAATGAAAATAGTCAACAAAATTACATATCTTGCATGTAGCCTAAATAAGAATGGGTCCACTCACAGAAAATAAGATGTCGTATAGAAAATGCGAAAGCTGTCTTCAATCGCCTCAGGAAGATTTTATGTAATATGCACCTGAACATTGATATAAGAACACGAGTCTTGAGATGCTATGTATTTTCTATCCTTTTTGTATGGAGTCGAAGCCTGGACCTTAACGAAGCAACAACGATTAGAAGCCTTCGAAATGTGGTGTACCACCGCAAGCTCAGAATTTCCTATATCCAGCATGTTACAAACAACACCATAATCCAACGTATGAATAAAGATCGGGAAATTATGCGTATCGTGAAAATCAGAAAGATGACATACTTAGGGCATGTGATCCGCAATGAAAAGTATCAACTAATTCAACTAATTTTACAAGGCAGGATAAAAGGCAAAAGATCTCAAGAGTGCAGAAGGACATCGTGGTTGAAGAACATCATACAGTGGGCAGAAATGACTACCATACATCTATTTAGAGCAGCTGTCAACAAAGTTGTATGGAACAACGTGATTGCCAACATCCACAGAGGATAGGCACCAAACGAAGAACGTTTCATCAGTTGTGAGGTAATTATAAAGATTATAATCATGTCAGCAGTGAGTGACAAAGACAATAGAATAATCTAAGAGATAACTTGTCCTTCTTCCAATCGAATACACCAAAGCATAAATTTAAATCTTGTGGGTTTCTTTTAACATCGTTAAATGAAAATTATTTTAGACCTGATATACCAAGTTTCCACCATTCAATGATTCAGTAAAACTCAATTAAAAATCGTGGACTATAGTTGTAGTCATCTAGGAATATCATCTACGATTTTTTTCCTAATATTTCTTTTATGGACCTTGGCTAAAGTGTTTAGGAGAGATATTGGCATGTAAGATCTGCGTTGGTAGTGAGTTTCTCGTTTTTGGAATCATGATTGTATATAATATACAGTAAGGTCTCGTTTTATTCTTCTTCTTCTTTAAGTTCCATCTTCTGTCGAAGGTTGGAAATCATCATGGCTATGCGGACTCTGTTGACTGCCGCTCTAAAAAGTTCTGCACTACTGCATTCAAACCATTCCCTTAAGTTCTTAAGCCAGGATATTCTTCGTCTTCCCACATTTCGCTTTCCTCGGATTTTGCCCTGCATAATAAGTTGTAATAATGCGTATTTTTGCCCTCTCATCACATGTCCCAAGTACTCAAGTTTTCGTCTTTTAATAGTTAATAATATTTCCGCAGTTCTCGAACAACTAGGAAAACAATGCGAAGTTTTAAATTCCATAAAGATCAGGAAATTGGAATACTTGGGGCACATCATGAGAGGTGAAAAGTACGAACTACTAAGGAATATAATGCAGGGTAAAATCAAAGGTAGAAGAAGCGTAGGAAGACGTAAAATCTCGTGGCTACGCAATCTCCGTGAGTGGTTTGGATGCAGTTCAATTGAACTATTCAGGCGAGTAACCAATAAAATTATAATTGCCAGAATGATTTCCTATCTCCGATAGGAGTGGAACTTGAAGAAGAAGAAGATTATTTCCGCCTCATTTTCTATCCTTCTAGTTACTTCCATGTTTGACATTCTTTGAATCCATGATATTCGTAGGATTCTTCTGTAACACCAAAATTCAAAGGCGGCCAGCTTATTCAGATGAACTTGTTTTAGTGTCCAAGCTTCCAGACCATAAAGAAGAGTAGAGAACACGTAACATCGAAGCATTCTCAGGCGTAGTTCTAACCTTATATCCCGACAACAAAGAAACTTTTTAAGTTTAATAAATGATGTACGTGCTATTTCAATACGTGTCTTAATTTCTTTGGTTTGGTCTACATCTGATGTTATCCATGTTCCTAAATATTTAGAGTTATTAACATTCTCAATTGCAGTATCTTCAATAGTCAATTGGATATTTGCATGTGCAGATTTAGTCATGATCATGCATTTAGTTTTCTTTAAATTTATCTTCAGTCCGTACTCATGACAGCGTTCATTAAGGCGTTGCATTAGGTTCTGTAAATCATTGTTGTTATCCGTAATTATTACTGTATCGTCTGCAAAACGTAAGTTATTCAAAACTTCTCCATTGATAGATATACCTTCTATTGAGTCTGAGAGCGCTTCTTGAAATACCGCTTCACTGTAGACATTGAAAAGTAGTGGGGACAGCACGCAACCCTGGCGGACTCCTCTCTGTATTTTGATATTTTCGGTGTACTGGCTGTCAACTCTTACCTTGGCAGTTTGATTCCAATATAAATTAGATATAATTTTCAGATCACGACTGTCAATATTTTTGCTTTTTAATATATCTACAAGCTTTTTATGTTGAACTTTATCAAATGCCTTTTCAAAGTGTACAAAACATAAGTACATATCCTGATTCATGTCCATGCATCTCTGAGCCAGCACATTCAAGCCGAACAAAGCATCTCTTGTACTCATACCATTTCTAAAGCCAAATTGTGTGTCACTAATCTCATATTCAAGAGTTTTAACAATTCTGCTGTGAATTATTTTCAAAAATGTTTTAAGTGTGTGACTCATTAAAGATATTGTTCTGTGGTCTGAGCAAGTTGTTGAACTTGGTTTTTTGGGAATTGCTACAAAGGTTGATTGCAGCCATTGTCTGGGGATTGTGGCAGTCTGATATATTAGATTAAAGAGTTCAACCATTACATCAATAACATCTTCATCGATGAGTTTTAATAATTCGATGGGCACCTCATCTGGTCCAGTAGCTTTACCCTCTTTTGTGTTTTTAATGGCATAGATGACTTCTTCTCTTAATATTGGTGGTCCAGTATCCTCGGTGATTTCTAATGACAGTTCTTCTCTTTCATCATTAAATAGTTGTTGAATGTAATTGGTCCAGTGACATAATCTCTCCTTCATATCAGTAATAATATCCCCTTTATCATTTTTAAGGATATTCGTTTTTGTACGCTTTCTGGAACCTGTCATTTTTTTGATTTTTTTGTGTAAATTAAAGCTATCGTACTTTTTATCCAGATCTTCTATTTCCTTGCATCTATCGGAGAGCCACCTCTCTTTTGCCTCTCGAATTTTCTTTCTGATGTTTCTCTTAATTTCTTTGTATTTATCCAGGTCTTTTGCTTTATGTTTTCTTCGTTCTTCCATGAGTTCAAGAATTTCTACTGTCATCCAAGGTTTTGTTTTTTCTTTAAGTGGTTTGAGGGTTTCTTTTCCAACTGACACAAGGGCATGTTGAATTTTTCCCCATTTTTGGTCAATAGTTAGAGTTTCTGCATTATCTTCTTTGACTTTCCTTAAGCTCTCGTTTATTTTAAATTTGGTTTCCACATATGTGTTGTCTTGTTTGAGACGTCTTGTATCTATGATTTTCTTGGTGCTTTCTCGTTTTATGCGTGTGTGTATTTTTGGTAGCGGTTGTCTGCTGGGTACTCTTGTACGGTACGGCACATACCATTTCACTTAACAGGATATCGTGCAACTTGTTGTTCTGCTGCATATTAGCAGGTTGAGTTTCTTGTATGAGACGCTCAGGAGTCTGCTTATTAGGGATTTCATTAGGTGCTTGCGCTACAATTATTATTACAACAAAGAAAACTACAAAAACAGTTAAAAAAATTATATTTGTTTTAACTATATAAAATCTATAAATGATAAAAAGTATCAGAGCTGTATCAATAAAGTTTTATTAACATCACAATTAACTGGAACAAACTGGAGTTGCTATCTTCACACAGTCTTCCTCCCGTAGGAAGTTGTTTTTGGTAGCGTGGCAGCCTCCGTAGAAGGCCCGGATGCATTTTTTATCTCCGTTACTCCATTTATATACTGGGATTCTAGCACGGCAGATGGATAAACCGTTTTGTTGTTGTACACCTAGACCACAATCTGCAAAATAAAAAATAATGGATAAATCAATCAATTTTATTATATTTGATCAAATGACATAAAATCTCGAAATTATGGATTTAGAAAGAGCTTTTGAGGCATATACTAGTCTACTACGCATCCATTCATATAATCATTCAGGAGATTTTTCTCTCTGAACAGAAGTTGCAATCTGAAACAAAGATTCTTAAAACTATCTGTAATGCATTCGATATCTCAAGAACCATCTGCATCAATCCACTAAGTTTCTTTGAGCTTTGCACACGAATGGGGAGAAACCAGTTTTCTTGGTTTCTTCAGAACTAGCAAACAAAAAGTTTTTCGAATAACATGATATCAACGAACTCTATTTAAGAAAATATCAGAAAATAATCAGAAAACCGAGATATAACTTCCTTCGACTAATTCTCAACAGTAAAATTGAAGGAAAAAATAGATAGGTGGAAGAAACTCTCCTGGTTAAGAAATTTGGTATAGGTTTTACAGCAGACCAATTGGAGCTCCTAGTCCTAGACCGAGACCAATATAAGAATTTTATTTCATGGTAGACACCGACGTTTGCTACAAAAATGGTACCCTAAGAAGATGTGGTTTCATGTTCCTCTTGCCCAATTAAACCAGTCCAGATTTGCCTAAACACGTTTCATTCATCAAGAAAATTCATAAAATATTTTAACCAAACATTTTAACCAACCATACCAACCAACATACCCGTCTTCTCTCCTCTTTTTGCCTCCACCCTAGACACGAGACTATCCAAACACCCGCACATGAGACCATGATAATGAGTGAGGATGTATATATCTTCTATAAATTGTCTTTGCTGTTATGTTGAGCTTTTACTAATTTTGAGTAAAGTTCTGTGGACGATAAACTAACTAAAAAGGCTCAAGAAAACCTACCCAAACTGTTACCGCTGCTGCTAACAACACAAAACAATAAAATTCTATTAAGATTGTAAAAAAAATCATAAATGGGTAACAGTCAATTTATATACAAATCAAAAACAAAAAACTTAATTGTGATAAACACCGTGAGAATATTATATTCTCACGGTGAGATGAGCAAAAAAATGATGGTTTGAAAAGTTGTAGAAAACTCTAAAGTCCAAAGTCTAGTTTGAATGATAAATGAAGTTCATATAAACAAAGAACCAATACCTTCTTTCCTGAAAGGTCTAACTGCTATAGCCGTCGGATCTTCATAAATTATTTTGATTTCTGGAAGATCTTCTTCACCAAAGACTTCACTGCTTGCAATGATGCAAAAATAGAAAAATAGGACAGTTGTTTTCATTTTTCTTCTTAGTTTTTGTTAGTTGTTTATATGAATTGTTAAATATTATATAAGACTAGGAGAGATTATAGTTTTATAGCAAAACGCAAACCTTGACCTGTTGCATCAATGATAAATTAAAGTGCAGTAGGAATTTTGATATCTGCAATTTTTTAAAATTATAATTATTTAATATGTTATTCTGAATTACATTTATGTTTTGTATAAATGTTAAACAAACTTACTAAATTTTGCAAAAATAAATTTAACACTGGTCCACTGACGTAGATGTGTCGAAAGTGCGAAAATTTTCTCTTGATCCCAGTAACGTTTCATCAGTTCTTCTTAGGGTGCCTGTCCATTCGGAACGTTGGAGATCATTCTGGCTATGATGCCTTTGTTGGTTGCTATACGGAATAGCTGTGTTGAGGTCTTTCTACAGGTACCATGCTCTAAAATTAGCAAGCCAGGATATTCTTCTTCGTCCTGGGGCCCTTTTTCCTTCAATTTTACCTTGAAAAATCTGCTTATGGATATCTGCTTATGGTCTACTCATAGCTAGCTTAGCGCCTTTTACCATGTTCATTGATGACTTTGTCTATCCATGGTGTCATATATTTAGTTTTAAGTATATTCTATTAGTTTTATGTTTTATGTTAGATGTCATATTAGTTTTATGTTGATGTTGGTTGACAGATAAATGAAGGCTGACACTTCGTGCCATGCCGATATGTTGTAATGGTTCTTAAATAAAAGAGTTAATAAAAACTTAAAAAGCCTACGTTTATTAATAATACAACATGGCGCAGTCAAACGGAAAATAAAATCACATTTGTTGTGTTACAAAGTTTCACTAAAGGTAAAGTCAAAAATAACTTTGTAAGACCTATTATAAATAAAAATACAAGATGGAGGTGAGGCTGCCAAATCCTATGAAATTTGAGGGCAATATAGCAGAACATTTCAGGAAGTTTAAGCAAAACTTGGAAAATTACTTGATTGCCTCTGAAAAGGACACAAAGCCAGACAAAATGAAGGTTGCTATTCTTTTAAATTTAATAGGTGAAGAAGGAGTTGAGGTTATAAACACTTTAAAACTTTCAGATGTCCAAAAGGGTAATTTTCAAACAGTACTAAATGAACTAGAAGCATTCTGTGTACCAGAAAGAAATGAAATGTTTGAAAGATTTGTTTTTTATACTCGCAATCAGGAAGGGGGTGAAGCATTTGATCATTTTTATACAGATATAAAAAAATTAGCACAGTCTTGTGAATTTGGGTCTGAAATAGATAAAGCTTTACGTGATAGGATTGTCATGGGAATCAACAGCAAAGAATTGAGAGAAAAATTATTCATTCCCAAGAAGCTAACTTTAAAAGATGCTGTGGATATTTGTCGAGCTAGTGAGTTGTCAAAATTACAACTGAAAAATGTTGAGAAACAGTTAACAGGAAAAATAGAGGCTGTAAAATACAATCAGAGTTATCAAAGATCAGATAGAAACATTCAACAAAGCACAAGTAAAAGTGGTAGTGGTAATCAGGAAATATTCAATTGTAAGAGCTGTGGAACCCGTCATGGAGTTAGGCAGTGCCCTGCATATGGTCAAAAATGCAAGAGGTGTTGGCGGTATGGGCATTGGGAAAGAATGTGCCGCAATATGTCAAATGGATCTAGCAGCAGTGGTTCAAGGACAGTCAGAGAGGTAATAGAAACTGGCAGTAGTAATAATATGGATGCAGATGACATGACGATTGCAACAATATCTATTAATGAAATTAAGAATAGTAAAGAATGGATGGAAACTATTCAGGTAGGAGGTCTAAATATTGACTTTAAAATAGACACAGGGTCACAAGTCAACATTTTACCTAATCATATGTTGGATAAAATTGATAAAAACATAGTCTTAGAAAAGTGTAAAATAATTTTGGAAGCATATGGAGGATTCAAAATTGTTCCATTGGGTATTGTACATTTAAATTGTTTGGTCAATAATATTATTCATAGCCTCAAATTTGTTATTGTAGAGGGAAATAAAAGCTCACCAATATTGGGTCTTCCATCATGTTTAGATTTAAAAATTTTACCCAGGGTTGATAGTATAACATATGATAATAAAGAGGATTTTGTTAAAAATAATATTGATGTGTTTTCAGGATTAGGTAAATTTAAAAAAAAATGTATCCTTAAACTCAAAAAAGATGCATTGCCAGTTGCTAAACCACCACGTATGGTACCAATAGCTATTAGAAATAAATTAAAGGAAGTGCTAGATAGTTTAACATTGAGAGGTGTGATTTCTCCATGTGAAGGGCCTATGGAGTGGTTAAGCAATTTGGTAATTGTTGAAAAAAGTGATAAGTCACTAAGATTATGTTTAGATCCAAAGTTTTTAAATTTGGCATTAGAAAAAGAATATTGTGTTATACCAACACTAGATGAAATAAGAACACAATTAAAAAATCAATCAATTTTTACTGTACTAGATTTTAAGGATGGATTTTATCAAGTAGAGTTAGAAAAAGAATCAAGTAAATTGTGTGCTTTTAGTACAATATTTGGAGCATATAAATTTAACAGATTACCAATGGGTCTTAATTGTGCTCCAGAATTTTTTCAAAAATTAAATCAAGAAAATTTTGGTGATTTGCCAGGGTGCTTAGTTTACTTTGATGATTTGTTGGTTTTTGGGGAAACACTGGAGCAACATGATATGAATTTAAAAAGAGTCATTGATAGGGCAAGACAGCTAAATGTTAAATTTAATGAGAAAAAGATTCAATATAGGGTTAATGAGGTAAGATATTTGGGTAACATATTTGGCATAGAAGGAATGAGACCTGATTATGATAAAATTTCAGCAATAAAAAACTTAAAGGAACCATCAAATAAAAAAGAACTTCAAAGTATTCTAGGAATGATAAATTATTTAAGGAGTTACATTCCTAATCTCTCTAGTATTTCGGCTCCATTAAGGGAACTTTTAAAAAACAATGTTATTTTCTCTTGGACAAAATTGCACTCCAATACATTAAATAAAATTAAAGAATTGGTTAGTTCACACTCTGTGTTAAAAAATTTTGATGAAACTCAGGAGATAGTAATTCAAACTGATGCTAGTCAAAATGGGCTAGGGTGCTGCTTGCTACAAAACCAAAAACCTGTTGCTTTTGCTTCAAGGTCTCTAACAGATAATGAAACACGGTTTAGCCAAATTGAAAAGGAGTATCTAGCCATTCTATGGGCTTGCAATAAATTTCATAATTATGTTTATGGACGTCATATTAAAATTGATTCAGAACATCGTCCATTAGAGGCTTTAATGAAAAAAGGAGTGTCTGAAGTCCATTCACCAAGATTACAAAGAATCAAGGTAAAGCTTTTAAAGTATGATATTGAGGTAAGATATAAGCCAGGAAAAGAAATGCATATTGCTGATTTATTGTCTAGAAACTTTCAGAATATTACAAGTGAGGATGATGTGTTCATTACAGAAATAGTTCACTCAATTAACTTCACAGAGGAGAAAAAACAAGTTTTCATTGAAGAGACATTAAAGGATAATGGATTACAAAGATTAACAAACTATTGCTTAAGGGGATGGCCTACAGATAATAGTAAAGTTCCGGAATCACTTAAAAGATATTATTCAATTAGACATGACATACATCTATGCAATGATTTGCTGTTTTATAATGACAGAGTCATTGTACCTAATGCATTACGCAGAGGGATGCTCTCACTGTTGCATGAGAATCATTTTGGTGTTACTAAAACTCAAAATCGTGCAAAGCATATTTTATATTGGCCTCAAATAAATGCTGATATTGAAAATTTTATTAAGGAATGTAAGACTTGTGAACAATTTAGCAACAGTAATGTCAAGGAACCATTAATTTTAAGAGATTTTCCTGAGCTGCCTTTTCAAAAAGTAGCTAGCGATTTTTTTGACTATGGTGGGAAGTCTTACTTTGTTTTGATAGACTATTTTTCAAAATGGTTGGAAGTAATTCCAGTAAAGGACAAAACTGCGGAAACAGTAGTAAAATGTTTAAAATTAATATTCTCAAGGTTCGGAATCCCAATGGAGGTAGTTTCAGATAATATGCCTTATGATTCACTAATGTGTAAGAATTTTGCAAAAGACTGGAATTTTAAATTTTGCACCTCTAGTCCACATTACCCGCGGTCAAACGGGCTGGCAGAAAGGGCAGTGCAAACATCTAAAAATATGTTAAGAAAATGTGAAGATTTGAACATAGCACTATTAGAATACAGAAACACACCAGTATCAGGAACGGATAAATCTCCTTCTCAGCTGTTACAAAGCAGAAGATTAAGAACAAAGCTTCCAATCAAAGAAGAACTGCTGGAACCAGAGAACATTGACTATGATAATGAAAGAAGTAAGTTAGAAGAAAAAAGAAAATTATATAAGCAGTATTATGATCGAACAACATTGAGAAGAAATGAATTTCAGAATAATGAAAATGTAGTAATGCGAGAGGGATCAACCTGGTCACCAGCCAGGATTATATCAAAGGTTGAAAACTCCCCTAGATCTTACATAGTAGAAAAAGAAAATGGAAATATGGTACGAAGAAACAGTGTACATTTAAAACACTCAAGACATGAATGTCAACGAAGATATGCTGGAGATGATATTGTGAATAACAATGACACTGAAAGACATAGGCAGACATATAACGAACCTAATCAAATAATAAATGACTCTAAACATGATGATCAACAAGTAATTGATTTGGCTCCACGCATGAGTAATAGGGGAAGGGTTATTAAGCAACCAATTAAATTTAAGGATTATGTATACTAAAAAAAAAAAAAAAAAAAAAAAAAAAAAAAAAAAAAAAAAAAAAAAAAATTAAAAAGAAGAAGATGTCATATATTTAGTTTTAAGTATATTCTATTAGTTTTATGTTTTATGTTAGATGTCATATTAGTTTTATGTTGATGTTGGTTGACAGATAAATGAAGGCTGACACTTCGTGCCATGCCGATATGTTGTAATGGTTCTTAAATAAAAGAGTTAATAAAAACTTAAAAAGCCTACGTTTATTAATAATACAACACATGGAATCTTCAGGATCCCTCTGTATAACCATAGCTCAAAAGCCTGAAGTTTTAACAGACTTTTCGCCTTCAATATCCACGTTTTGAGTACGTACAGAAGCACTGAGTACACGTAACATTTAAGGAGTCTTATTTTTGTTTCTGTTTCTTCACTTAAGAAGTGAGGAAATACGAGCGAGATGTGGTGTAGAGAAAATAAACGTGTGGACCAAAAGAAGAAAAGTGAAATGGAATCAACACATCGAAAGAATGACAAAAAATAGAATAGTACGAATAGCAAGAGACAAATCGATAAATGGAAGAAGATCATTGGGACGACCGAGGAAAAGATGGTCAGACAACGTCAATTGAGGTTAAAAACCGAAGTAAAACAGGCATTAAGCCTATTTATAAAGTAGGAAGATGAAGAAGAAGATGTTTTATGTTTATATCGTCAAAGTTAAGTATATTGGTTTTTGGTTTTTGTTGCTGAATTCGTTTTAACCTTAGTTTAATATCTGCTACAAGTGGTTGATTATCAGATCCAATATCTGCCCTAGGAAGTGTAGTGACTTTTTTTACGGCATTTCGGAAAAGCTCATTTACATGTAAATTATAGTCTATTTGATTTCTTGAAGACTCAGGGTTATTTCCATGATCAAATAGGGCTTTCCAAGTGTATATTAGTCACTTGGGTAGTTTATATCATATCGTTTTCTTTACAAAATTATACTCTTTATAAAGGATTTTAAATAAACTTTTGTGGTTGATGGTATACAGCCAACTACAGGAATTTTATTTTCCTTGTGGATTTCATCAGTTATTATGTATTTGTAAGATTGTAATCATATCAGCAGTGAGTGACAAAGACAATAGAATAATCTGATGACTTATTCTCGTTAGAATCGAATATACCAAAGCGTAAATTAAGATCATGTGTATTTTGTTTAATATCGTTAAATGAAACATTTTTTACTCTTGATCCTTCTATTTTCCACAATTAAACGATGTAGTGAAACCCGATTGAAAACAGTGGACGATATTATACTCATCTAGGAACTTTACAAGCCTTTCCTTAATATGTCGTTCTTGGACCTTCTTTGATTGTTTGATATTTATTTAGCTTTTTGCCAATGGTCAGATGAATTTTTTAATACCACAGGAGCGCAGAGATTACTGAAATAGTTTGCAATAGAGCATATTGGAAGTACCTAAAAATTTACCACCTAAAATACAGATAAATCAGCAAAAACACAGCAATCAGACCTGTCATAACCTACGTAGCATCACCAATCGGGCGAAATTACACACCAACCTATAAAGAAAGACAAGAAAAGAAAGAAAGGACGGAGTTAATATAATAATGTTCTAAGACCGAAATATATGGAAAAAAAGGCCAAACGTATCAAGGCGATCTTTTTAAATCATATTACAAAGAAAACTACAAAACAGTTCAAAATTTTTTAAATTTTTAACTGTATAAGCCTTATACAAAGAATAAAGAGTTTCCTGATATTCATAATTTTAGTTTGTGTCTTAAAGTAGCGTTTCTCATTGATACAATGAGCATTATGAATGAAATATTGACCAAATTGGAAGAAAATTACAATATCGTTGTAACGAAAATGATGAGTATTGTGTTTTCACTAGAGCAGAAGCTAAATATGTATATTGAAGAATTGTCAAATGAAGATTATTCCAGCTTTCCTTCCGTTAAAGCACCACTGTTTGATGAAAATCCAGATGAAAGTCAAAGAGATTTTTGACCTACTGAAGCAGTTAGCAGACCTAAAGGATGAAATGTCTGTGAGGTTTAGTGACTTCAGGAAGTTCCAAGAACCATTTCGCTTGGTGGAAAATCTATGGGCAATAACAACAGCAAATGTAGCTCATCTTTCTACTTTTGGATACGCAGCTAGGGATTTGAAAAATGAGTTAATTGATCTTTAGAATGATACAGAGCTCAAAAGAATTTTTGAAGAAAAAGAAGGAAAAAGCTCACTATAAGTTTTGAGAAGCAGTTGCAAATGACAAATTTCCTAACTTAATTGACTGTGCTCAGAAAATGTTGTGTATTTTTGCATCTACATATGTCTGTGAATCTTCATTCAGTAAGCTGAAGTTAATAAAAAACAAGTACAGATCTAGGCTAACTAGTGAGAACGTTAAAAACATTTTGAGAATTTCAGTTTTCTTCCCAACTACAAAGAATTAACAAATTCAGGACTTGACATTCCTGGAGTCAAGTAAAAGACATTTTCCTTCTTTTTACACGCTAAACAGTCCATATAATTTATAATTATATTGTTTTTACGTAACTTGTAATAAACTTATGTTATAGTCATATAGTTTTAAAGTTATTTCATACCACCAATTGTACTTGCGACCCTGAGGAAAATTTCATTCATACTATTAGGCTCTCAAAGAAATCCTAATGAGGATCCCTGGTATAAGGTCTAATAAGCAAACAAACATATTTTATCATTATTTTTATATAGTCTCCAATTAACAGTTATTGTATCAATAAAGTTTTATTCACATCACAATTAACTAGAACAAATTGGGGTTGCTATCTTCACACAGTCTTCCTTATGTTGGAAGTTGTTTTTGGTAGCATGGCAGCCGCTGTAGAAATCATTGACACATTTGTTTTCTGTGTTGCTCCATCTGTATACGGGGATATCAGCACGGCAGCTGGTTAGACCTATTTTTTGTTCTACACCTAGGCTGCAATCTGTAAAATAAAGAAGTTGGATAGATCAATAAAGTATTTGATGAAAAGACATAAATTGCTGACGTCTACCAACAATCTATTGCCTTCCTCAACTGATCTATTTTTGGCATGCGTTTACACTTTATAGTCTCTAATGAAATATTTTGAGGAGGGGAGAACTATTTGTCTCAAATTGGTTATTCAGAATTATATCTGTGTTTTTTAATTTGTTGATTTCCATAGATTCTAACAAAGATAGCTTAAGACCTTTATTTTGAATGTGAAGAATTTTAAATTTGTCATTAAAAGAATGATTATGATCTAGAAGGTGAAGTGCGTATGTAGAATCTGTTTTTCTACTATTGAAAGCCCTTTTATGTTCTGCTGTTCGTTTATTAAAGTTTCTACCAGTTTGACCGATGTAAGTTTTTGGGCAGTCGGCAGTTTAATTTCATTTGACGTAAAAAATCTTTTTCCTAGTATCCCTCCTACAGAAACTTTTATTCTAGTAAAAAACCTTTTAGTCCAAAATAGTACAAATCCAATAATTACACCTGAAATTTTACATCTTGAAATTTGCATAAACCAGGACTACTTTGAATTTAATAATCAAATCCGTACATCGGAGGTAAAGGACACTATGTCCATTTTCTTACTTTTTAAGGAGAGCAGTTTTAAAATTTTTTAAATTTGTAATCAGTAAATACTCAAATGTTTCTGATATTTAACCAAAATTAATATAATATATTAATTGCATGGTATTTTATTGATTTCGAGAAGGCATTTGATAAAGTCCCACTTGGGAAACTAATCGATATCCTAAAAACATCAAGGCTCGATGGTAAGGATATAAGATTGATCTTAAACTTTTCTTCATAAAAAGCAACAGTGCGATTAGTAAATAAACTGTCCCAACTCTTCATAGTCGAAAAAGGAGTTAGATAGGGTTGCATATTGTCAAAATAATGTGTGAAAATAACCATTTACTAATGATGTGGACTCTCGTGCTATGTTCTTTTTAACTCTACCCTAGTCACCAGACCATCCAAGCACCAATGGTGAGGAGGCCAATACAAAGGCAGAAGACGCCCAAACATGAAACAACAGAAACATCACCCTCAATAATGGAATTACCCACACATGTGACCATGATAATGAATGATGTCCTTTTTTCAATTATTTTTGCAGGTGTTTGCAGAGGTTTTGTGGCAGAATGTAAAGGATTCAAAAAGATCTACCCCAAACTGCTCCTGCTTATAATAACACAAAAACAGAGATTATTCGATTAAGATTGTAAACACATAATAAATGGATAACAGTCCTATAGCTTTTATAGAAATCAAAATTAAAGAAAAGCAGTAAGGGAAACTAAAAAAAGGATTTAACTGTGATAATTGTCATGAAAATATACGCAAGAAAGTGTTGTTTGGAAAAGTTATAGGAAATTTAAAGTCCAAAGTCTAGTTGAATGATAAATGAAGTTCACATAAATAAGTAAATAACACATACCTTCTTTCCTGAAAGGTCTAGCTGCTGTAGCTGCCGGATCTTCATAAATTATTTTGATTTCTGGAAGATTTTCTTCACCAAAGACTTCACTGCTTGCAATGATGCAAAAACAGAAAAATAGGACAGTTGTTTTCATTTTTCTCTTTAGTTTTTGTTAGTTGTTTTATATGAATTGTTAAATATTATATAAGACTATTTACAATCAAAAAACGAAAACTGCAATACTTGGGCCACATTACAAGAGGCGAAAGATATGAACTGCTTCGAATAATTATGCAAGGGAAAATAGCAGGAAAAAGGTCCATAGGAAGAAGACGAAACTCCTGGCTAAAGAATCTACGGGAATGGTATAGTTGTAGCAACAACGAATTGTTTCGGTCAGCAGTTTCGAAAATACGTATAGCCCTGATGATCGCCAACCTTCGGAACGAAGATGGCACTTGAAGAAGAATATAAGACTAGGAGATATATAGTTTTATAGCAAAATGCAAACCTTGACCCGTTGCATCGAGCATAATGTTAAGTGAATAAAATAAAGCAAATATTTTGGTGAATAATCTATTTTGGATAACCTTTGGGAAATGTAAGTAATATGTTTAGCTTCGTACATTTTTCTGTAGATTACAACAGAAATTGTATCTAAAAACAAATTAACGCTTCATGTAGATATAATACGAAATATGCTAAGTTTGTAGTGAAACAAAAACAAATATTATGCATTATCAAGAAAAACTTCATCGTTTACAAAATATTTATTTTTTTTTTATTTGGAACAATTGTTGCTAAGTACTATTTCCTCTCAGAACAAATTGTCTTCAGACCAATAACCCTAACCTCGTCAACTTGTAAGCTATTCGAAAATATTATAAACCGTCGCCTTACATGGTTTCTGGAAGATAAAAAATTACTTATCCCGAAGCAAAACGGCTTTCGTCAAAATAGATCAACGAAGGATAGCTTAGTTGATCTTGAATCCGAAGTTCACGAAGCACTCATTAACAAATAACACTGTCTAATTATTTTTCGCGATATAAAAAAAATTCACTCCAGGGGTATTAATGGACAATTCCTAAAATTTATTCAAAATTTTCTTCAACTCAGAACATTTAAGGTACGAGCAAATAGAACACCATCATCAACTCGAATCCAGGAAAACGGAGTCCCCCAAGGATCGGTGTTAAGTATAACTTTATTTCTTGTTGCAATTAACGATATCTTGGAACAATGTCAACAACCAGTTACAGGAAGACTGTAGACAGGCGTGGTAGTGGAGTGGTAAGAATCTGATCTTTGTAAAAGAAATAAAATTGCTCGGTCTTACTACATTTGACAAAACATTGGTTTAGAAAAAACCACATTAAAAATCTAAAAGGTGCTTGCCAGCAAAGCAATAATATTTTGAAGACACTGTCGAACATCACATGGAATAGCGATACGGCAACTCTTCTACGAATCTTTTCATCTTTAGTTCGTTCAAAAATTGTCTACGGCTCAGTGGTATATAACTCAGCCAAGAAATGTGTCTTAAAGAACTAGATGTAATTCAAAATACGGGACTGCAATCGCTTTGGGTGCTCCATACTAAGTATATGCAGTGAGTTAGGGCAAACCCCTTTAGAATTTAGAAAAGATTTTGAAGTTTGTCATTTGTTTCATAACAATCGTTTCAGCCACTACTTCTCATCTCACCCTGAATGCAATCCGCCTTCCTATGAACAAATTTACCGATTCCTTCATAAATATAGCATAATATTCTCGACAATATACCACCCTTCCAAAAACTCTCCTCCTCCATGAACTGTAAATAAACCACTAGTGATTACTGATCTATCAAAATTTAATAAACATGAATCCCCACTAGCCATATTAATAAACCACCTTAAAGATATTATGCATAGATTTAGCGACTACCAACAGATCTACACAGCTGCATCAAAAACAACGGACGGAGTGGGAGCAACCATTTTCTCTAATACTCATAATGCTAAATTTAACTTGCATAACAACTGGACTATCTCTAATGCAGACCTATACGCAATCCTTGAAGCTCAAAAATTTATAAACAAAACGAACCAGAGAAATTTATTAAAAATTTTTACAAAGAACTTCAAAATGATGCAAAGGAAAACAAACACGTGGTATTAATCTCGGTTCCATCTCATATTGGATTACACGGTAACGAGGTTGTGGACCGACCGTCTAGCTCACGAGGCAGCGACAAGTGATGGTCAAGTTCGACTAAATAAAATAGTGCCAAGTGATCTTAAACTGTGCTTAAAAAACATAGATGGTTGTGCGTGGTAAAACAAATGGTCGCAGTGTTCCGAAAAACCAAGTCAAATTAAAGACAATGCTTCACAAAAACAAACCTTTTTGTTACCTAGAAAAAAACAAGTCATCTTTACTCAACTCTGACTTGGTCACATCCGTCATACACATATTTACCGAAGCACAAGAGACAACCCCCTTACTGCACTAACTCAACCTTCCCAGCGACATAGGTGAACTTCTAAGACAGGCCATTCACGTTCCGACTTGTGGTACCACTTAGTAGGACTACTAGTTGGATGTTCGTCTCCACTCACGCTCCGACTTTCTATCCAACTAGCGGTCCAACTTCAGTTCTAGGTTGTTTGCACGATGGTGTACATCGCTTAACCAAAAAATGTATCGAATAAACACTACGCAAAATATAATATATATTATGATATGTATGTTTAAAAATTAGGTTTCGTTTCTCTAGTTATTTGTCTAGGGCTGAACTAATTAATTTTTTCAACTCTTGAATTTTGTGACTTTTTAAGATGTAGGAAAAAATTTTTTTAGTTTTTTAAAGATTTGTGTAGGTATAAAATCTATATTTTATTTGTTTTAAACTGGAGCTGGGATTTATTTTGTTGTGTGTGTGTCGTACATTTTTAATAGGAATAATTTTTCGTGCAATAGAAAGTTATTTTCTATTATTTTTTTGCGAACTAGGGATCTTTTGCTACAACTATAATTTAACTTTCATTGTTTGTTGATAATTCTTCCGTAGCCAATCCGGAGTATCGGAAATTTACCTGTATGGGAATGTCCGAAATAGATCTACAGAAAGAAAAATGATTTGCCCGAACAAAAAGGTAATTTTCGTGCAATTGAAAGTTTATTTTCTATTAAATATTCGCGAACTAGAGATCTTTGCGTAAAGTATTTCATAGAAATCTCATACGTAACAGGTGCCGAAGGTCAACTGACTGAGGAAATTTTCGATCCAACCTGTGATCCGACTTCCAACTTCACCATTCACGCTCCGACTTTGTCGCCAGTCGGAAGTCGGATCTTCAAGTCGTCCCACTAGTCGTACCACTAGTTGTCCAACTAGCCCACTCACGGTCCGATTTCAGATCCAACTGCAGAAGTTGGACCACAAGTCGGAACGTGAATGGCCTGCATTAGAGACATTTGTTTTAATTTTTAATATGTATTTTCCATTGTTATCGCCTATAATTTCAGCGAAAAAAACAGCTCATTAGTTTTTCTCTCTTCCAATAATCTTGTACAATCTCTGATAACTGTTTGTGATTCTCGTTATCAAATGCTTTTGCAAGATCTATGAATACAGCTTTTTTTGTATCCTCAGTGGATCTGGTTTTTTGAAATCTTAACTGTTTTTGGATACTTTGCTTGCTTTCAGAAATTGTTCTAATCTTCTGTATAATTTTTTTCTCTTGTTTATGCCGTCTATACAGGAGTCAATGGAGTTGTGTTGTCAATGTTATTTAATATTTCTGTAATTTCTTTCTTTTCTTTTTTATTGCCTGGTAGTTATTGGTAAGCCTAAACTTTTCAGTGCGTTCTGTACTGATTTGTGTAGGCGTCACGAAAAGTTCATTAAATGATCCACCTATTAACGTAAATGAGTCAATTTATTTACTGGAGGTGATTGGTTATTTACCTGACCAATTATTCTCTAATATCTTCTATAGTGATTTCTATTTGTTTTATTGTCAACCAATGAAATCCAAGTACCTATGTGATTCATTCTATTTCGCTCAAATAATGTTTTGAATGTTGGACGTATAAAATTACTGCTTTTTGTGATTAGTCAATAACGAACCTGTCTTTAAATGTAATAAAAAAACAAACAGATATAATAGATTTGTTTTATGATTAGAATGTTAAAAGATTTGTATTTAATTTTTGGTTGCATTTTATAATAAGCTACATTTCTTTGATAATACTCTTTTGTTGTATATAATTTTTGTTTTTTTCTTAATTTCATTACCAGGAACAGAAATTAATTTTGGTAATTATCTATTAAATGTGTTTTGGCGTAGCTTTGTTTATTTTTTCTTGGATATTTTAATTTCTTATGGCTTGATTTGTTAATTAGAGAAGAATTTAGAAGTTTTTTATGTAAGAAGTATATACAACAAAATATTAATATATACTTATGTAAAATATTAATATTAATAATTTGTCAAAAAGAAATATTCTTCATTTTTCTGTAATATGTGACACTTGTTAAAAATCTTAAATAACCCCTGGAAAATGTAACTAATATGTTTAGCTCTGTACTTCATTTTTAGAGTAGATTACAACAGCAATTGAATCTAAAAACAAATTAACGCATTATATAGATATACAAGCACTAACAACTTAATGTTAAGACAAACGAAAATTTATTAAAAACGTTTATCTTCATAACTTTGCTTATTAAACCAAAGAATGAGATCAACAATACATTAAACTCTATCATTAATAACAAAATATAAAAATGGTTTGGTCTCTTATAAACTTTGAATTGCAGCGTTGGCTGCAAAATTTACTCTTCAAATTAGCAACGGTTCTCTGAGGATCATTGCGCAATTTCTTTTTCATGTTATGCCACAATGTCTCAATAAAATTAAGGTCTGGATTGTTCAAACGCTATAAGAGCAATGTAATGTTATTGTCTCCAAACCATTTTTTAGTTGTTGTAGCTGTATGGTATGCAGCACCTTCCTGCTGGAATATAAAATTCAAGTCCGGATAGAGATCGTGAGCACTTGGTACAAGAGTATTGTTCAAAATATCTTGATACTTTAATTGCTGCGTTAATTGTGCCTTTCAAGCAAGCAAGCAATTTAATTAAACCCAGCCTGTGAGACATGTTCCCCCCTAAGAATTACGTTCGGGTGTAACAGTTCATTGGAGCGACGTGTGTTATTTCGAGTAAAAATAGGAGTCACCCCACCGCACTCCACGAGC